TTTAAATGTCATGGAGGGGTGATTTTTTTTTCTTATGCTGTTAACAATTGCTTACTTGAATACCAAAGTAAGAACTGTTGAAAAAAAAAAAACTTTCACAGAAGGATTAAATATTAATTCACACATGTCAACTAAATAAAATCTAATTCTATTTGTAATATTTCAGGACTGTAAAAAATTCCACATCAGAGCTATGTCTACACTGGCGCGATCTTGCGCCAGAGCTATGCAAATGAGGCTAAGCATGGAATATCGCCAAGCTTCACTTGCATATATATTGAGCCACCATTTTTGTGGAAGAGGCTCTTCCGTAAGAAGGAGCTGACTACACTGCCCCTTCTTGCGCAAGAAAAACCCTTTTGCGCAATGCTGTTATTCCCGAAAATAATCAGCGTAGCGGCATTACACAAGAGGGTTTTTCTTGCGCAAGAAGGGGCAGTGTAGTCAGCTCCTTCTTACGGAAGAGCCTCTTCCACAAAAATGGTGGCTCAATATATATGCAAGTGAAGCTTGGCGATATTCCATGCTTAGCCTCATTTGCATATCTCTGGCGCAAGATCGCACCAGTGTAGACATAGCCTAAGTGATTTCTGAACTGCAATATCCAGCGTAGTCATGGAAGACTGCAATTAAGTCTATTGCACTTCAAATGTTATCTTAGTCAAATCCTTAAGCTCATATTAATTATGTCAACCACATGTGTGCTACTATAACAGCAAAGAAGAAGCAGTCCATTTAGTTAAGTAGTAAGCAGAAGCAGTGAAACAGATTTGCTTTTTGCACTAAATGTGAGATTTGATTCTACATTCCATTGTAAGTTATTAGCTTTCTATCAAAGCTTCTAGATGTTTTATTCCTAAAGAGTAAAGCTAAAGGCAGGCTAAAAGTAAACAAGCAGAACTTTATTAAAGCCTATGAGCTATTCTGTCCTTCAGGCTGAGCTATACTTAGCCTAACTCCTTGCATTCCCTATTCCTCCAGGCTATGTCTAGACTGAAGGCTTCTTTCGAAAGAGGCTCTTTCGAAAGCATCTTTCGAAAGAGCCTCTTTCGAAAGATCGCGTCTAGACTGCAGGCGGATCTTTCGAAAGAGAAATCCGCTTTTTTGAAAGAGAGCACCCAGCGAGTCTGGATGCTCTCTTTCGAAGACGGCCTCTTTGCATTGAAGAACGCCTTCTTTTGAAAGAGGAACTTTCGAAAGAAGGCGTTCTTCCTCGTAAATTGAGGTTTACCGCCATCGAAAGAAAAGCCGCGTTCTTTCGAAATAATTTCGAAAGAACGCGGCTTGAGTCTGGACGCAGGGGAAGTTTCTCCCAAAAAAACCCACTTTTCCCGAAAAAACCCGAGTCTGGACACGGCCCCAGTGACACCTCAGTTCTACTGGCCAAGATAGAGCTTTCCATGTTGTGCAAACATTTTAATAAACATCAAAAACAATTGACACCCAGCTCCTGTGACTTCAGCCAGACAGGTTAGAATTCAGCTGAGTTGGAGTTTCATCTTTACTACACTCAAATGATAGCATAGACTTTTAGATAGTTTAGTCTTGGTGAAGGTGTTCCTGTGAGAATATACCATTAGAAAGAAAGAAACCAGAAGGAATGAACTTGCAAGTTGCAAGAAGCGTCTATCTCTGGGGCTAGTAGGTTCTTTGTTAACCTGCCATACTCTATTTGGTGAATTTGGATGCAGCAGCCTTTCACTCATCCACCAGAGTCTCTTTCTGTTGGTGGTTATCTCATGACTACCAGATGTCCCACCCTACTATCCAAAGCCAAGCTATGCATTTATTCCTGGTCAGTAAATACATTCTCAAATCTGTCTAAGATATTGGTCAATACCAAGATGTGGGGCATGTATTTTCCCATGATTTCTTATGAAATTAGGTGGTGACAGCAGCTCTCTGTCTAAAAAAAACTGCATTCTATCCTATACACTCAATGAATTTTTAATTTGAAAATATGGTTCTAGTCTTATCAGTAACTTGGCTTTTGTCTTCCGGCCACCCTGCTTGCATCACTCATAACTGATTGCTATTTGGTTTTTCCACAGCCTCTTGGATCTCCATCAGCCTCACCACTAAAACCAGGGGATAGTGCAGCATACTAATGGCTTCAACATCCTAACCCCTTTTCTCCCAGTTTCATCCAGATTTGTGGGCGGGCACAGGGTTGTACAGGAGCTGACCCATGTGTTCATCTTCTGCAACCAAGTGTAGCCAGGAAATGTACCACTCCTATAAAGCACTGTACCCATCAAGGGTGCTGATTTGTATGGGATGGCAGGGGCAGATGCTGAGAGACACTGTAAATCCTGTATACAATGGAAACCGCTTTATGCCAGGGGATGTGGCAGCACACACAGCATACCTACTGCCAGCACCTATGTATCCCTTTCACATTCTCTAGAGCTAGAATTTTGACTGCCTACATTTTGATGGGATTGGATCTGACCCTCTGATGTGAGTAGATGTCCAATGTATGTTACCGTATGCAGTTTGAATCACATTGTATCTGCGTTCATATTTATGTTGTTGTCTCTGTATTGCTGAAAGAAAGCTTGTCATTTCCCATCATGGTCTCATTCAACTTATGTATCATGTCTTTCACCTACCATGAAGATATTATCTGCAATTGCTTGCACCCGAAGCAATCCTTCAAGCACTTGATACATCTTCTCTAGCACAGGGATTATTATGATCAGCATAAATAGCCAACTATAGTGCTGAAGTAGTGTTGCACGGGTTGTCCGCTATAACCAGGCTTATGGGACAAATTCCAGTCCTCAAACCACAGACCATACAGGTTTTGGATTTTGAAAGTTATAGCAAAATTTAATCTGTTGTGGGCAGTTAATAGAGGCATGTTTCCAATTCCTGTTTCAGAGGCTTTGGGTGCACGCAAATGAATATTTTTCCTGATGACTTTAGCACCACGCTGCACTAAAACTTCTAGAGGCTATAGTTCTCCTGTTCTACAGACGTTTAAGCTACTTACCTTACTGGATTACATAATGCCATAAGACTTTCTTTGAATGCTTACCAACCACAATCACAAACTGCAGTTGGTACCATCCATTATTTTTCAAGTTAGTTACTATGAAATCACATTGTCTTTTGGGCTCCACCAGTTTACATTCCAATTGCTCTATTTATGGTTGTCTTCAAGTCTAACACACTCTGAGGAATCACTATGCAGGAAGCCCCACAATTCAGCTGAGATCATAAGAGATGGGTCCCTATTAACATGGTTCCATGCAAGGAGGACTGTACCATCCATTGTTGCTTTCTTTTCCTGACAACTCAAACTGATAATGCTCTCAGGGCCAAAGTGAGTCTCATGATGTTACTACTGTTGTCCAACATGCCAGCCCACTTCTGTACAAATCTGAGTGCCTTTCCAAGATCTTTCTGTGTTCCTATCCTCATTGGTAAAATGATTTAACCTTGCCACATTTTGGGCCATGATGACCTTGGGGCACTTCTCTTTTACATGCCCATGCTGTCTCACACAGTAATTACATCTTGCTATGTGTATGAAAGCCTTCTAGTGATTTAATTTCACCCCTTAAGGCTTCCATTGCATATTCCATGTCTAACCATCTGTCTAACATGCGATTGCCTTCCCAGAGCAGGAAATAATCACAAACTCCCCAAAAGTCGGATGCTCCACAGTTTTGTCCTGCTTTGGGGAACAATAGGTCTTCAAAGTTCCTAGGATTCCTGGAAGGCTTGAGGAAGCATGAGGCTCAGAATGAGGCAGATCTCTTGGCTTTATTCCCCAATAAGAAAATAATAATTTTAATGTGCCTCTGTTGCTGTCCCACTGCATGGCCAGGTCTGTACACATCTTGAACTCCTCCTTCAACTGGGTCCAGACAAAGTTTGGTTCTGCAAAATCCACACTAAATTACATGACTCATTCTGCCAACTGCTGCACTTCAGAAATACCCTGATCAGATGCCCCTACCAATTTCATTTGCAAACAATGAAGATGAAGCAGGCAAAAAACAAACAAATGGAACTTAATAAAACCTTTATATTGCTGTTTCCATGTGTCTGGGCAATTCCCAACTTAACACCACACCTTTCCTGAGCCTTTGGAATCCCATCAATAGCAGTTCCTCCAGGAAATATGCCTCCACAGACTCCATGATTTCAGTTCCACTGACCATTTTAGACGAGGCATAGAAAGAAGAGGGCTTTGCTATTTACTGTATAGCTGTAATTTAAACTATTTTAGTTTTCCCAATGATTGAAATTCTATAATTATGTAGTTCATGATAGGCTGTTGTCCTGAAAACCAAATGAGTCCAAGGTACAAAAGGTGGCTGTTTGAAATATGTCACCATTATGACCCTTTCTGCCCTGGCCTCAGCATGGGACAATGTATCAAGACAAGCATACAGAGAAATTTTCATGCATTTTAAATGTATCTTTATAACTGATTTAAATATCCTTTGGCTGTATTTTAACATCCTCTGAAAATGGCTTATCATAGTCATGTGTCTACTGCACATAAAGTCTCATCTGAATAAGAACATTGCGTCATCTCAGATAAAGTCCACAAAACACTTAATTATACATATATATTCAGATTCCATATATTTAGACAGATAAGGAAGTCACTAAGTTTTCTACAAAAAATTGTGTATTGTGATCCACTAAAAACAAACAAAAAAAACCCAGCCAGCACCTTGACATATATATATTGATAACAAAGACAATTAAGCATCAAAATGCACATTGTCCAGATTCATGATATAAACTGACAAGTCATTTATCCTAATGTCCAATATCAATAAACAAACCAAAAATTACAGCCTCCCATTTTTAATTAAGTAATAAAATCTATAATGTGCCATAAAAGTCCATGCTGAAAATTAGGTAGAGTATCTCATTAAAATAATAAATTACACATCAAAAGAATAAATGTACATGTACTGGAAAAAAGATAATATTAACATGGAGAGCAAGAGATGTAAAATCATGATTGTACTTACCACAGTGAAATTCATAACCTTCAAAATCCATATTGTCATTGCTAAGTTAACTATCATGGTAACCAACAGCAGAAGGACAAAGAAGTATAAGCACCTCTTTCGCCATCCATAAATTCCCACTGGATAAAGCTGTGGATTTTCAATTCTTGGCAGGCTGTTCTGCTGTGTTGCCAGTATATATTGTTCTCGTGTCATCTGGAAGGGGGAAAAAGAAGACAAAATGCATGTAAGAAAATGAAAAATCGGCATTTGATAGAACAAAAAAGAAAATCTATGAAGATTATCTGAATAGGCTTCGAAAATCATATTACAGCTATTGAAGTATTCTAAAGGAAAGAAATTGCACTGAGCCAAATTCAACCATACCAATTTGTTTGAGCTAAGGTTTTAGTACCCATGGTGTGAAGTTTAGCTAGTTGCTGCTCCACTATATAAAGGATCCTTTTTCTTATTGTTATCATGAATTACAAAGTGATTAATAGAAGAACACATGTGCATGATTATAAATAAGTCAGACTACAAGGTTTAGTATAATGTGGAAATTGTGGAAAACTAGGAGGAAAAAAGGTACAAAAGAGAATAGGCTTGTCTCAAGTACAGTTTTATTAGCTTCTGTATATATGAACATGTCACAGAAAGTCATTCATCTCTTTAATATGAAAGGAGAAAAATACTGTCACGCTTTAGCTTGGAACAAAATTTTACAAGTGAAATTCTCACTCTATTATATCATGTATGCAGGTGATTAAATAATCCATCTTCTTACATATATTGTATTCCATAGAAAAGCCTACATTATAAGAATGTTAATATTACAGAGTGAATCACTCAGTAAGTGCCAAACTTTGCCAGGCAGCTTTGGATAAGAGCTACTCTAGTGTTTATGATCACAAGTTTTCCTTCCCACCCTTCCGTTGTTCAGTGCACAGGGTAGACAGTACTTTGTGAATGAAGCACCTCTTTTGTTGCTTATTTTAATCTTTACTGTTTACTAGAAAGTTGCCACGTTTATTGACATTCATTCTACATCCTGCACACCTACTGTGTTTTCAATGTTATCTAGGTGTAAATTTGGAGTAAATCTGTATTTGCAATTACATAGGAGTGCAGTGCCCCTAAAATGTAAATAATGTTATTTGCTCACCGCCATCAGAGGTGGTAGCTGTGTTAACGGGAGGAGCCCTCCCATTTCAAAACACCATACACAGTGGGAGCTAGGTCTGTACAACTACATTATTTTTCAAACACCCAAGTGACCTGATTATACCAGTGAAATTTTGTAGTGTAGACCTGACCAAAAGAATCTGTGTGGAAGGATCTTCCCTGTTGGCTTTTTACTCCTGTTTGAAATTCCTTTATTTTCTCTCTTCGTAACCCTATTTACTGCTTAAGCACACATTCCTTCCTTTGTTTAAAAGTGACTTGACTTCTACCTGGGAAGAGCTGTGAGGTTTTGGAACATGTTTGATCCTCATTGTAGAGAGAAACCTTTTTGCATTACATGCAATGTTACCACACATTTATCAAGATAATACTGCCTACCAAATTGTGGAGGTTTCAAATAATACACCTTATCTACCATACCTTGTAGAAGGGTAACAATACTGTACATAGTGTGCAAATACATGCGTGTATTCTGTTTCACCACCATCTACATGCTCCAGGGTGGATTGGGCATTGTGTAAACAATTGTACAAACATAAAAGAACATGAACATAAGAACAGCCATACTTGGTCAGACCAAAGGTCCGTCTAGCCCAGTATCCTGTCTGCCGACAGTGGCCAGTACCAGGTGCCCCAGAAAGAGTGGACCGAAGACAATGATCAAGCGATTTGTCTCCTGCCATCCCTCTCCAGCCTCTGACAAACAGAGGCTAAGGACATCGTTTTATCCCCTGGCTAATAGTCTTTTATGGACCTAACCTCTTTAAACTCTATGATCAAGCAATTTGCGTCGTGCCGTCTGTCTCCAGCCTCTGACAAACAGAGGCCAGGGTCACAATTTCTATCCCCCGGCTAATAGCCTTTTATGGACCTAACCTCCATGAAATTATCTAGCTTCTCTTTAAACTCTGTTATAGTCCTAGCCTTCACAGCCTCCTCTGGCAAGGAGTTCCACAGGTTGACTACATGCTGTGTGAAGAACTTTCGCTTATTAGTTTTAAACCTGCTCCCCATTAATTTCATTTGGTGTCCTCTAGTTCTTATATGATGGGAACTAATAAATAACTTTTCTTTATCGGCCCTCTCCACACCACTCATGATTTTATAGACCTCTATCATATCCCCCCCTCAGTCTCCTCTTTTCTAAACTGAAAAGTCCCAGTCGCTTTAACCTCTCCTCATATGGGACCCGTTCCAAACCCCTAATCATTTTAGTTGCCCTTTTCTGAACCCTTTCCAAGGCCAAAATATCTTTTTTGAGGTGAGGAGACCACATCTGTACACAGTATTCAAGATGTGGGCGTACCATAGTTTTATACAGGGGCAGTAAGATATTCTGGGTCTTATTTTCTATCCCTTTCTTAATAATTCCTAGCATCCTATTTGCCTTTTTGACCGCCGCTGCACTCTGTGTGGAAGTTTTCAGAGAACTGTCCACGATAACTCCAAGATCTCTTTCCTGATTTGTCGTAGCCAAATTAGCCCCCATCATACTGTACGTATAGTTGGGGTTATTTTTCCCGATGTGCATTACTTTACACTTATCCACATTAAATTTCATTTGCCATTTTGTTGCCCAATCACTCAGTTTGGTGAGATCTTCTTGGAGTCCCTCACAGTCTGCTTCTGTCTTGACTATCCTAAACAGTTTGGTATCATCTGCAAACTTTACTACCTCACTGCTTACCCCTTTCTCCAGATCATTTATGAATAAGTTGAAAAGGATTGGTCCCAGGACTGACCCTTGGGGTACACCACTAGTTACCCCTCTCCAATCTGAAAATTTACCATTTATTCCTACCCTTTGTTTCCTGTCTTTTAACCAGTTCTCAATCCAAGAAAGGACCTTCCCTCTTATCCCATGGCCATGTAATTTACACAAGAGCCTTTGGTGAGGGACCTTGTCAAAGGCTTTCTGAAAATCCAAGTATACTATATCTACTGGATCCCCCTTGTCCGCATGTTTGTTAACCCCTTCAAAGAACTCTAATAGATTAGTAAGACAGGATTTCCCTTTACAGAAACCATGTTGACTTTTGTCCAACAAATTATGTTCTTCTACATGCTTCACAATTTTATTCTTCTACATGCTTCACAATTTATTACTATTGTTTCAACTAATTTGCCCAGTACTGAAGTTAGACTTACCGGTCTGTAATTGCCAGGATCACCTCTACAGCCCTTTTTAAATATTGGTGTCACATTACCTAGGCCTTTAACTGTATCTTTAGGCTCCTAAGCCCCATATTTATGCATCACTGGCATTCAAATTATGATATGATATGAATGGAGATTGCCTATCTCCTAGAACTGGAAGGGACCTTGGAAGGTCATCAAGTCCAGTCCCCTGCCTTCACAGCAGGACCAAGTACCATCCCTAACAGATTTTTGCCCCAAATCCCTAAATGGCCTCCTCAAGGATTGAGCTCACAGATTCATCACCCACAAAGGATGGTGCAGTTTTGGGAATTTCCCCAACGTCCTCAGCTGTGAAGACTGACACAAAGAAATCATTTAGTTTCTCTGCAATGGCTTTATTGTCCTTGATTGCTCCTTTTATAGCTTGATCATCTAGGGGACCCACAGGTTTTTTAGCAGGCTTCCTGCTTCTAATGTACTTAAAAAACATTTTGTTATTTCTTTTTGAGTTTTTGGCTAGCTGTTCCTCAAAATCTTTTTTTGCTTTTCTTATTACATGTTTACACTTGATTTGACAGTGTTTATGTTCCTTTCTATTTATTCCTTGATTGCTCCTTTTATAGCTTGATCATCTAGGGGACCCACAGGTTTTTTAGCAGGCTTCCTGCTTCTAATGTACTTAAAAAACATTTTGTTATTTCTTTTTGAGTTTTTGGCTAGCTGTTCCTCAAAATCTTTTTTTGCTTTTCTTATTACATGTTTACACTTGATTTGACAGTGTTTATGTTCCTTTCTATTTATCTCACTAGGATTGGACTTCCACTTCTTAAAAGATACCTTTTTGTCCCTCACTGCTTCTTTTACATGGTGGTTAAGCTACAGTGACTCTTTTTTTAGGTCTCTTGCTATGTTTTTTAATTTGGGGTATACATTTAAGTTGTGTCTCTATTATGGTGTCTTTAAAAAGTTTCCACGCAACTTTCAGGGATTTGGATCTAGTCACTGTGCCTTTTAATTTCTGTTTAACTAACCTCCTCATTTTTGTGTAAATTCCCCTTTTTGAAATGCCAGGGTGCTAGACTGCTCTTCCTCCCACCACAGGAATGTTGAATGTTATTATATTATGGTCATTATTCCCAAGTGGTCCTATAACGGTTATTTCCTGGACCTGATCCTGCACTCCACTCAGGACTAAATCTAGAATTGCCTCTCCCCTTGTGGGTTCCTGCACCAGCTGCTCCAAGAAGCAGTCATTTAAGCCATTGAGAAATTTTATCTCTGCTTCTCTTCCTGAGGTGACATGTATCCAGTCAATATGGGGGTAATTAAAATCCCCCATTATTATAGAGTTCTTTACTTTGGTAGCCTCTCTAATTTCCCTCAGCATTTCAATGTCAGTATCGCTGTCCTAGTCAGGTGGTCGGTAATATATCCCTACTGCTAATTTCTTATTATTGGAGCATGGAATTACTATCCATAGCAATTCTATGGAACATGTTGATTCATTTCATATTTTTATTTCATTTGATTCTACATTATCTTTCACATACAGTGCCACACAGAGAGACTGGCAGTCATTAAGAAGGAAGACTAGTCAGGGGGGAAATTGAAATGGGGTTGTGCAGTTTTTCCCCTATACTTAATGGGAAATATTACTAGAATACTACTAAATGCTACTAAAAGCAAGATAAAAGAAAAGTTATCTGTGCCCACTGTACTGTAGCCTTCTGTGCTCTATTTTTCATTTCAAAGCTCAGTGATCAGGTGCAAAGACCATCCTTTAAACCTTTATAACACTACCAAATCAAAATGGATTGTCGCCAGGTTACCAAGATGCATACTTTTTAGATTCCATATATGTTCCAGGTGTAAAGATTCTATTACAAATCAAT